CGAGACACGCAGTTGCTGCGTTACTCATTCAAAATATTAGAGAAATATAGAAGGTCAATGCGGAGAAGATCTTGATTAGGTTAAAACCGAAACCTAGCCATTCACACAGAACGCATATTCAGCGCATTTTTTACACTGACAAATACGACTGCTGCACTCGCGTCTCACAGAAGAGATATATAGAAAGCCATGCAAAGTTAAAACAGTTTAAACTTTTAGAAAACACGTCACGAATTTGTGGAGGTTTATTCCGTTTCACTGCATCTCATATGTTTTTAAATGCAATCTGTGTGATCGCCGCTTCAGCTCTTTGTATTAAGCAATGCATAAATACATGATGCTGTTTTGTTCATAACCGTTTATGCAATTTACGAAATTATGTTTGATTTATATTGAGTTAATTTAGACGTAATGCACGTTTTTTTTATAGAGTTATTTCCTTTGCGTTGGCAATTTAATGCGCTCCTGTGGCCTCGGGAGACAAGACAAAAGTTTCCTTCAGACCTATTTAATCTGCATATAAAACATTAGAAATTAGATATTTGTTTAATTTTTATTTTGTGTTTGACTGTTAAAACAAAAATATTTGGGTTAAAATATTATAAATTGGGTTAATTTAAAAATACAGTGGTTAAATGTAAAAGTTTTTTTCTATTGCTCTTTGTTTTAAAAAAGGTTATAAAAAATGTCAATAATTATCGATACCAAACAATATGAAACATTATATCGTTGATACATTTTTTTAGCTATATCGCCCAGCTCTACGTGTGCACGTCTCAGACCTGTGAAGTATTTGCTGTAGTCCTGTTCGATCCTCTGCGCAGACTCAAACTGCTCTTTGGAATGTTTTTGGGACACTTTGTCTCGCAGATACACGGGGTCTTTCTGCTCCCTGAGTGAATAAAACACAGACTCAGTACAGACGCAGCTCCTGCAAGTCAAATGCATCTGAAAGCACAGGTAAATGTTCATTTCTAGCGGCTAGAGTCTAAGCAACTCCCTCATTAGCAGTAATCAAAGTCACAGACTAATTGAGCTCAACGTGGCTTTAGTAGAGCGAGTCATTAAACTAATTCATAATCAAGAATAATTCAAAAATGAATCAGACATTGTGTTGTATGCAAGGGCAAGGACAATGCAATATAAAGATGCAAAGTCATTGAATGTAATGAGAGAGAGACTGAGCACTAATGGAAAAATGGATGTTCAGGACCAATACGAGACACAAATGAGCCTAAATGAGTGTTTGTTTATGTAAACATCCAAAGGCAGACGTCACTTACTTGATCTGCTTGGCGTTTCTGTATCGTATGAATATGACGATGGGGTAAATGTTGACGACGTGCAGGCGCTCGATGGCGTAAGGTGCGATGTCCAGCAGACAATGACAGTCCTGAGAGAAAGAGAGAGAGAGACCTCAGCACAACCTCATAACAAATAAATGTGAACCTTTTGAAAATAAATGTGAATCTTTATAATAATAGATACATCATTCATTAGATTATTTACTCATGTTTAACATTAAGAAAATGAAAATTATTTTAGAACGATTAAGATTCTTCAGAATTGATATATTATTTTAATGACAACTTCCTAACAAATGTCCTCTTTTGTTAGTTGTTTTACAGAAAAAGTATCTGTTAAATGAATTATATATGCTTGCCAGACTCATATAAATGTCATGAAATCACGTACAGGTTACTTGTGGTTTCACCACAAAACAAAAATTACAAAAAAATTAAATAAAATCATATTATATTATAAAAAATTATACTATTACTAATAGCGTTGTTTCATAAGAGTCTGGTGTTTCTCTCACCTTCTCTGTAATTTCCTTAATGGTCGCCACCGTCGTCACATCAAAGTGGCCACTCCGGCGCTTGTAATCGATGAAGAGACAGTCTTTGACGCCTCGCTCGATGGCCTGCTGGGTCGCCTTCATCCCCTCTGAACAACACCGAAGAGCAAGTGAGAAATCATTTGACATCATCATCTTATTATCCCGCAGTCAAAATTGAAAACCCAGTCATGGTCAAGTTGCTATGAATGTTTTAAACTCCATTACGAGTCAAATGTCAGTAGATCTCACCAGGTAAACAGCGGCAGTATTTCCCAGGAGCCTCTCTGAGCAGCATGTCTTTGATTGGCTCAATGAGGGGCCCCAGTATCAACACGGGCCTGCGATTGGTCGATTCCACTTTTAGCACGCGCTGATACGCCGGACTCAGACAGTCTGGACAAACGGAGAGTAAATGAGACGCTGAGGATAAGCGTGAAGTTTCACTCACTACATGTGTTGTTTCTCACCGTCCATGTAGGGCACGGAGTCTGTGCTGACGGCGTCTGCTGCCGGAGCGTCACGGCCGTCTTTGGAGCTGCTGCGTTTGTGTTTGAGTTTACGGCGGAAGAAGGATCGGCGCGCCGCGGCCGAGAGCGTTTTACCAGAGCCGCTGTCGTCCTTACCGTCTGTGACGCTGTACCGCCGCTGGGAATCTTGATCCATCCTACACACACACACATATACAAACACACACACACACGCACACGCACACGCACACACACACACACACACACACACACATACAAAC